TTCTATATTTGTTTCAGCATTTGTATCAATAACCTGCTGTGTTTAGCACAGCTCTGATTTATTTCCCACTGTTTGCCTTCATTTTATGGTACTGGCATTTGCTTTAATGTGATGTCGTTTTCTCCAGATGTTAATAAGATGGTGTTAATGTTTCCACAACATTTTTCTTGATAACATTTATGTAGAGCATGTCATCTGATAATGTGGAATCAACCCATTTTAAAATATTGGTAATCATTTTCTAATTAAAATTAGAGGCTCTGAAGTGTTTTCCTCCCAGTAAAAATTGAGGTCATACACTTTCCCCCGCTTGGGGAAAATTATGTGTTCACTGAGTGAATGAATATGTCCTACTGTATAAATTGGAAGCATGATATATGGGATCATGTATCAACGTTTGTGCACACGCACATGGACTATTTTGAGATGGCAGCAGCTGATCCAGGTAGACATTCTGTGTTTCCAGTGAGGTGATGCTCTCATTTGCAGCTCTACAAGCTGCCAAATAGTGAGCTTTAAATCTCAGGAGTGCCCTGTTGTATACTTTTGGAGAGAGTATTCCACATTTGGGAAGGGAGATGATAGACTGGGAAGGGACCAGGAAAGCTTGGTGTGGCACTCAGAAGTTGCTATACCAAATCAAATTCAGCTTCGATATCAACATAACATTTTTCGTTCTTGCTGGGGTTTCTGAATTTGTCTGGATAAATCTAAGATGAAAAAAAGGAATCACTGAATTCAGAGTCTGTGAATGAATTGCCAAATAAAATGGAACTGAAACACTAAAAAACCAACGCCCTCTGTTTTTCCTATTTAGATCATGCTTCTTAGTGATCCAGAGGTTGAGAGTGGCATCCTCATCAGCTCTGATGAAGGGGCTACCTACCAGAAGTACCGTCTGAACTTCTATATCCAGAGCTTGCTCTTCCATCCCAAGCAGGAGGAGTGGATCTTGGCCTACAGTCTGGATCAAAAGGTGAGCAGCTGATTTCATATTTCAATGATTCTTGAGCCAGGTGTTGAAAGGCATAGTGTCTAGAACTGCACACTTCCAGGGATGGTGAAGAAGATACTGTGTGCTTTGCTGTTCTCACCTTGTAGGTTTAAACGTGCTCAAAACCCACCCAGTGACTCCAAAGTAAGCTTGCTAAAGGGAGTGGAGTGGAGTGGAGTTACACAGTGATCATTATAGGTTTGGAAGCTTTAGTAGTGGTGATGGTATGAAAGATGAAAAGAATCTGAAATTTGACGTGACATGTGGAGCTGTTCTAAAAATCTATTGATTTGTAGGCCTTGGTGATTGCTGAGATGTCTTTGAGGATTGAGCACTCAGGCTGAGTTGGTCCATAACAGCTGCCTGTTGCACATGATGGGGTGCTCCTTCTGCTGGCAAACTGAACTTCGTTATCGAGAAATCCGTGAGCAGCAACAGATGGCAAACTCCTCTGTGACACTTTTTAAGTCACTTTGCAGTGCTTTCTGTTAGTGAGACAGCTCTTGTCTTTTACTTTGTCCTTAGCAAGCCTGCTCTTGCATAGCACTCATCTGCCTTGAAAGATGCTGAGCAATGTGGGTGCGATGTGACTTGTAAAGTGTTGTGGCTACAGAGTGTGTGCTTCAGTTCTGGAACAGCCGTCCCCACTACAGTCCAAAGCTGAGACATAGACTGGGTGACCAAGTTACAAATTTTAGGAAGCTTAAAACTTGCCAAGTTTTTATCTTTCCTCTCTTCTGTTTCCATCGTCCATAGACTCCAGAAAGTAAAAACGTGCTGAATAGCCACTTTAAGTTTTTCTCCTTAATTTCTTTTCTGTGTGTGTGTGTTCTAGATGGGATTTTCAGTTCTTACAGTCATTTTTGAAGTGTTCTAAACTAGTCAGTCTCACATCCCAGCTATTGGGACAAAACACCCAAAATATTGTGCCTCTTATATTTGACAGAATTTTCTTTGAAAGGCTAACAAGTCTTTACCCAAGTAGTTACTGAGAGTGTAATCAAATAATCTACTACTGTTGTACTTCCTGATGTAATCTTTCCATCCACTTGTTAACTGAATGCTATGGCAGGCACCAGGTAGTTTGCTGCTATGTTACTGATGATGCTTGAGTGACATTTGCAAGCACAAAGCTATTGTAAATACACTCCTTTCGTAGTATCAAGTCTGTACTGTATGAAGGAGTTAATCAAATGTCAAACAGTTTTGTGCACTCAGATGTTCAATGTAGCAGGGATTTTAAAGTCGTCTAGAAAGACCAATCTATTTATTTGATGTCATGGAATGGTTTGATGCCATTTTTAAATTGGAGGTAAAGATTTTTAAATGGTATTGGTGTTTGTACAAAGACAGCCCTGAAAGAAATAGACTTCTGATGAGGCATGATGGATGGATGTGAGACGCCAGATAAGACACACTGAGTATGCATTTGCAAAGAGATCCAGCTGTAGTGAGTGCGGAATATCTGCTCTTGGTTTGAAACATTGTACTTCTGTTTCCAGTGCTTTGTAGTCTTTTTATGACATGTTAGCCACTGGAAAGAGAAATCAAAATACAAAGTATGCACATGTATTTGATTGTGGGGTTGCAATTATGCTCCCCTCTTCTAGTACAGCAGTAGTAGCTCAGGAGAATTTTTGCTTCTGCTCCTTCAATGGAGCAAATGGAGCAACACAAAGTTCAGCTTTTGCCTTTACGTCTGCCTTTGCATTCAAGGCCACTCATAGTCTTTTCCTCAGTGTTCAGAAAGATGGCCTCAAGTGCTGGTTGAGGTTGTTCTCTCTTTTCTCTAGAAGCCAGCTCTAGATCTCACACCTTCCAACACCGCTATGTCATGCCCTCTCTCCTAGCTGTGATCACGGGAACATGCCAGTGGTAATGATTGTTTGATGTCTCTGCTGCTGACCAGAACAGAGGTAACAAGAGCTCCTAAAGTAAGTGGCTAGAGAGGCTGCAGTAGTGCTCTGCAGTTGAGAGAAGGCTATCCAAAGAGATGCCATGCAGTTGTCAGGGGTACTTCTCCAACTTCCTGATTCTGGTGGTACTCCGCTCTCCTTTGTCTTTCTGCCCATTTTCCTGTGATGCAGCGTCAACTCACCTGGTACAAAATAGGCCGTGCTGGATCAAGTAGTGCTTGCTCTCTCACATCATGTGTCCGGTGTTTTTGGGATACAACTGCTCTGAAACACTTTTGATTTAAATGCATGAAAGAGCAATAAAATAGAAAGTTTATCATTACCCTGTAACCTGCGGGTAATATTCATCCACAGATAATGTGACAAGCGAGGTGCCGATGACAGTTAGTGTCTTGCTCTATGTTCAGTGGTGCAGCCACTCCTACGGTGGGAGACCATAATCTTCCACTTCTTTAAGCTTAAAAGTCTGTTTGACCTTTAAAGACTATTTGTAATGACTACTTTAGAGGCAGATTTAAAAATGCAAGTAACTCTGAAAACAAATCAAATACATACGACTCCCAGCAGTAGGAACTATTAAGGGAAGATCTAATTCATCCTCTCATAACTGTGAATGTGTAACAAGTTTCCAAATGTAATTTAATTTCTTAGATTAAAAAATAGCTTTCAGACTAATATTTATTAATTTTCTTTCAATTATAAATAATAATATGGTGCTGTAAGCAAGCAGTGGTCATCTTGGAAATTAATGAGAGTGATGAATCTGAAAATCCATTTTGTGTAGTATGTTGTTCCACACAGTAAAAGGAAATATCAAGAGCACTGGCCACTGCCTGGATTGAAAGATTTTAAAAATTGTTTTGTGTATTAAAAAAAAAGAAAAAAATTATTGGAGTTTTTGTGTGAAATAAAAATAGTCACTGTTCTGAATCTTCCTGCTAGAAAGTTTTTCTCAGAGGTCTTGTGACCTACAGTTCCATGACTGTGATTCCCTCCTTCTTTTTAGCAAACTTCTACACATTTGACAACAATATTAGGTTATTTATCCAGCTGATTAAAAAACCAACCAACTAAAAAACAGACACATTTTGAATTCTGTCCTCTAACAGAATTATTGTCCCTTCCAAGTTGGTGTTTTATAAAGTGTGTTCACTATTATAAGGCAGTAGTGAATAAATGGAATAATGTAGAACTCTCTGACACCCTTGTGAAAACCCAGTCTTTACATGTCCCCTGCAATTTGACAGCGGGCAAGTGATAACTTTTTTCAGAGTATGGAATCCCAGTAGAACATGGAATCCCAGTTAGTTTTTTTTACCCAGCTAATAGTAGCTTCCTACAGTCTTTTAGCTTGCCTAAGAGAATGCTATGAGACCTCAGACTGAGTGTATGTATCTATCATATGCAGGGCCTGTCCTCTTTTTCCTGAACAAGTGATGCCGTCCTGCGATAATATTCTAGTGTATTCTATACACAGCAATCTTATACCCCCAAATAACCTTCCTCTCCTTTAAGAGAAGGAGCCCATCTCTTCTTAACAGAACTTCTTGAAATATGACTTCATAGCTGAGAATGCTAAAGGCTTTCTGACAACATTATCTCTTCCATCAACTGAAATATTTGAATACAGCATCAGTTCAGCCCCCAAGCCTTTTATTACCACTCCCACATGGGTATTGTCCTTGTTTTTCCTGCTTGGGGCTATTCCCAGGAGGAGGGGAGAAGATTCAGTGATTTGGAATGGAGCTCAGCAGGCTTTCTGAAAGATGTTTTGGTGTGTGACTGCTGGTTACTTTGTTCATCTAAAGACAAATCCCAGCCACCACTATTTGTTTTCTCTTTGGAGTATCCAAAGAGTTATTAAGTATACTTCCTCACTATAAGTTGACACAGCCTATCCTTCTGTTCTTAATTTTTGCAGCCATTTGTGACCCTCCTCTGCCTTGTTAACTCTCTTGTATTATCAAATAAATACAGTATGGCTGAGCCAAGAAATCTGTTTGTGTGGGCACAAACATGAAGAAAGTTCATAGACCCTAATGTCTTCTCACAACATATAAAGCATAGACAGGAGGAACTTCTGCAGGGCTTTAAGCAAGCATGGGTGGGTGTACTACTCCCCCTGAGCAGCCATGTGGCAGTGTGCCCTGGGAGATTAATTGCATCTTGTGAGTTGAAAATCTTGGATCTCTTCCCAGTAGCTTTGTGTGTGTCTACTTTATTGATAAAATAGTGCAATCTGATGTGTGCACTTGTTGGTTCTGTTAATGGCTCCCTGTGGCCTTTGACAGAAGGTGGACACTGTAAATATTATAGCCAATTTTGCTGCGAGTCAGGCTGAGTCTCACTAGTAGTGTCTGTATTGGCACTTGGATATATGAGCCAATAGAAAGGGAAAATGGACCTTCATCCTCCACTTTTCACATGTTTTCACAGGAAATATATAGGAAGCCATTTTAAATGACATTTGTATCAAAGTGGAATGGGAATATATGAAAAAGGTGTGGTATTCTCTGTTGGAAAGTGCTGGCAACTGCTTTATGGAGTGCTGTGAAAGCGAAGAGTCTACCAGCATATACATGAGGTATAATTTTTGTTGCTGCCATTCATAGTGGCTGGGGATGAAGATCTTGAGTTGGTCTTGCATTTCTGATAGTAATATTTCAAGTGCTTCATCATTTGTCTCATTTATCCAAGGAACCAACTAATTCTCAATAAGTTCAACTTTCCACACCCCAATACCCCTCTGGGGAATGGATCAGTCTGGAGGTGGAAATGGAGAGGAGTTTCCAGCTCCATGGAATTTCTCTCAGAATGACATTGAAACTTCCTTCAGAGTAATGTGCACAACTGTCTTGTATGAATATTTGTTGAAAAGATAATTTTAAAAAAGAGAGAAAATATTAGGGAAATAGGGAGAGAGATATTTAAAATACTTCAAGTCACCTTTGTTAAGAGAAAGAAACTATGCAAAGACATGCAGTTCAACCTGTTCCTTACAGGCCAAACTGTGATTGGGAACCTTCTGGGAATAGGTGAGAGACTGAATAATTCAACAAGAGACCA